AGTGTTGACATGTCATGGGGTTGTTAACCATTGTCATAGGGCAATATGTGTACTGTTTAATGAGAAACTATTTGTTCTGCAAACCTTCATCTAAGGTACAAAAAAAAAAAAAAGAATTATCTATGTGAGATCAAATTGACAACAGCAACTCAGAAGGTTTGATGGGAAGCCTAAGGGACAGTGAGTTGAAGATAATGGTGATGGAATAATTTGGAAAAGGATAGTGAGAATAGCAGCACAACTGGAACAAGGTAATTGATGTCACTGAATTGTACACGTAGAAACTTTCAAAATGGTGTAAGTTTGGCTATGTATACTTCCACCAAAAAAAAGGTCCTCGAGGTCGACAAGGGAGAGTCTTGACACGTCGTGGGGTTGTTAAACAATGTCATAAAACAGTATGTGTACTGACTGTTTAATGAGAAACTATTTGTTCTGTAAATCTTCATCTAAAGTACAATTAAAAAATTTTAAAAAATAATAATAATAATTTCTGCATCCTGATGGATCTTCTTTCTTTGGAATGGGTACAAATATGGATCTCTTCCAGTCAGCTGGTCAGGTAGCTGTCTTGCAAATTTCTTGGCATAGACAAGTGAGCGATTCCAGCGCTGCATCTGTTTATTAAAACATCTGTCAATTCCTGGAGCCTTGTTTTTCACCAATGCCTTCACTGAAGTTTGGACTTTGTCCTTCAGTACCATCAATTTCTGATCATACGCTACCTCCTGAACGTCGACCAATTCTTTTTGGTACAATGACTCCGTGTGTTCCTTCCATCTTCTTTTGATGCCTCCTGCGTTGTTTAATACTTTCCCCATAGAATCCTTCAATATTGCAACTTGAGGTTTGAATTTTTTTCTTCAGTTCTTCCAGCTTGAGAAATGCCGAGCGTGTTCTTCCCTTTGGGTTTTCCATCTCCGGGTCTTTGCACATCTCATTATAATACTTTGTCTTTCTCAAACTGCCCTTTGATATTTTCTGTTCAGCTCTTTTACTTCATCATTTCTTCCTTTTGCTTTAACTACTCTACGTTCAAGAGCAAGTTTCAGAGTCTATTCTGATATTCATTTTGGTCTTTTTTTTCTTGCCTGTCTCTTTAATGACCTCTTGCTTCCTTCAGTAAGATGTCCTTGATGTCATTCCATGACTCATCTGGTCTTTGGTCAAGAGTGTTCAATGCATCAAATCTATTCTTGAGATGGTGTCTAAATTCAGGTGGGATATACTCAAGGTTGTACTTTGGTTCTCATAGACTTGTTCTAATTTTCTTCAACTTCAACTTGAACTTGCATATGAGTAATTGATGGTCTGTTCCACAGTTGGTTCCTGGCCTTGTTCTGACTGATAATATTGAACTCTTCCATCGTCTCTCTCCACAGATATAGTCAATTTGATTCCTGTGTATTCCATCTGGTGACGTCCATGTGTATAGTTGCCGTTTATGTTGCTGAAAAAAGGTATTTGCAATGAAGAAGTCTTTGGTCTTGCAAAATTCTATCATGCGATCTCCGGCATCATTTCTATCACTATATTTTCCAACTACTGTCCCTTCTTTCTTGTTTCCAACTTTGGCATTCCAATCCCCAGTAATTATCAATGCATCTTAATCACATGTTTGATCAATTTCAGACTGCAGTAAAGTTGGTAAAAATCTTCAATTTCTTCATCTTTGGCGTTAGTTGTTGGTGCATAAATTTGAATAATAGTCATATTAATTGTTCTGCCTTGTAGGCAAATGGATATTATCCTATCACTGACATGTTATACTTCAGGATAGATCTTGAAATGTTCTTTTTGATGATGAGTACAACACCACTCCTTTTCAATTTTTCATTCCCGGCATAGCAGACCATATGATTGCCTGATTCAAAATGGCCAATACCAGTCCATTTCAGCTCACTAATGCCTAGCATAAGACATTTATGCGCTCCATTTCATTTCTGATGACTTCCAATTTTCATAGATTCAAAATATCCATTAATAATTGGAACGTGGAATGTACGAAGTACGCCATCATGAGAAATAGAAATATAAGAGACAGAATGTTTATGGGTGATGGGCAATGAGTCTCTCTCTGAATAGGCTCAATTTGAGCTGGACTTACTTTCAAAACATATAAGTAACTACAAATAAAGTGTACACCTTTTGGAGGTATATAAATATTGTCAAAAGATTCTAGCAGCTTATTATGTAATGTAGTATATTACTACAACCAACCACATTTTCTGAACCAAAATTATCAAGAAATTGTCTGGGAAATAGTGCTTGGATGCTGAAATCTAAGAAGTTCTGTGAAAATCTTAGGTTTATGGAGGCACAGAATGGAATATTCTAAATAATTCAAATACTGGGGTCCCTACTATATGTCAGACATTGAGAATAAAGGTCTTTATTATCTAGAAGTGGGAAACAGCACATAAACAAACAAGCCTCAAGAGGGAGCTATGCGAAGACAGAAGTCTTGTCTGTTATACAGAGAAAGCACAAAAGAGAGTGCACTCACTTTGAGAGTGAAAGGGAGGAGACTGGAGATGGAAACATTTCAGGTATGAGGCGGAACACTTGAGCAAATATTGAAACAAGAATCAATGTGTACCAGGCTAAGAGGGGGAGAGAGTCATGCCAAGCAGAGAGACCATCATGAGTGGAGACAGGGAGACATGAAAACAGCACATTTAAGGAGCTACAATTTCCTGTCGAGTATAAGGTACAGGGCAGGGGTGTAGCAAGAGATGAGACCAGAAAGGAAATAACTGCTAACATTTACTGAGAACTTAATAAATGAATGAGTACAAGCCACCGTGCTCTAACTTTCTATTACCCATTCACAATATCGCAATATTACCCTCACAATATTGCTATGAGGTAGATACTGTTATTACACCCATTTTACAGATTTTTTGAAAAAGGAAAAAGCGAGAAAAGCACCTGAGGTTTATTTAAGATCAAATACAGATAACTAATGAAGGCAAAATTATAGCCAAGTCTATCTGCCTCCAGAGCTGAGCTGGTCAACACTTGGATAAAAAGCCAGGGGTTTCTGTGAAGGTGCTCTTATCCTTCACTAATAGAGATTACAGGAATTTCCAAGTGCAACGGTAATTCTGGTGGCAACATAGAGAACAGACTAGATATGAGCAAGACTAGAAATAGGAAAACAGGTAGAAGACGTCTGCAATAACAAAAAGTTACAGACTGAATTAATACCAGCATTAGGTATAGCGATGTGAAGATATTAAGAAGAGGACATTAAGAAAATCAAGAGGATCTGGCCACTGCCTTAATGAGTCATCAGTTAGGATGACTCACAGCTTTTTCACTTGAGTTATGAAGTTTCTGGTGGCATTATATATTCTATAAATGTCATGGTTTGAATTATGTCCCCCCAAAAATGTGTGTATCTGGGCCATGATTCCTGGTACTGTGTGATTTTCCTATAAGTTGTAAATCCTGCCTCTATGATGTTAATGAGGGAGGATGGGTGGCAGTTGTGTTAGTAAGGCAGGACCTGATCTACAAGACTGGATTGTGTCCTGAGGCAATCTCTTGAGATATAAAAGACAGAAGTGAGCAGTGAGACAGGGGGACCTCACACCATCAAGAAAGCAGTGCTAGGAGCAGAGCGTATCCTTTGGACCCAGGGTCCCTGCGCCGAGAAGCTCCTAGTCCAGGGGAACACTGATGAGAAGGCCGACCGAGAGAAAAAGCCTTCCCCTGGAGCTGACGCCCTGAATTTGGACTTTTAGCCTACTTTGACTGTGAGGAAATAAACTTCTTATTAAAACCATCCACTTGTGGTATTTCTGTTATGGCAGCACTAGATAACTAAGACAATAATAAAAAAAAAATTTAAATCATTTCTGCAGAAAAAAAGGTGGACTATCATTACTGCTGTTACATACATCAACCTATCTCCTAAATATCCATTAATGCAGTCTGTCCTTTCCCTGATTAAACAGACATAAAAGTCGCAGATAGGCCGCTTTCCTCTGGAAAGAATAAATTACCTGTATGTTAGCCGGGAACGTTTCAGCAGCTTGTCTAGAACGAAGGAGATGGGGGACAATCTTTAACTTGACTCTCGTGCTGACTGGGTCCCTTTTCAACTCTGGCTTCAGAACTGCTCCCTGTCAAAAATATTCTTGATTGTAACTCAGTGTTTCAAAATTACTTTAAACTGAAAAAGTCATGAGATACCTAAATTAGCAGTTCTCAAACTTCTGTTTACATTCTTAAAAATTACTGAAGGCTCTAAAGAGCTTTTGTTTACATCACTATACCTATCAGTATCAGAAATTAAAACTGAGAAATCTTTTAATATTTGTTCATTTAAAAATAATAATAAACCCATTACATATTTTCATAAGTGACATGTTTTTATGAAAGGTAACTATATTTCTCCAAAAGAAATGTAGTGAGATAAGTGACATCATTTCACATTTTTTGCAAATATTTTTAATGCCCACCTTAATAGCAGTCAGCTGAGTTCTTGTATCTGTTCTGTATTCAATTTGTTGTTGTGGTTGAAGTATGTAGGGGAAAGAAAAAAAAAAAAAAACCCAGCCATACCCATATATGTAGTTGAAAACAGGGAATGATTTTAGCCTTTTCAGATAATTATGAATATTCTTTGATATTACACCAAAACTTGAAAAATGATAGTTTCTTAGAGTTGCAATGTGGGTTTGAAACCATATTAATGAACTTTGCATACTGTTATACTAAATTCCACTGGTCTATGGAAACTCTGGTGGCAAAGTGGTTAAGAGCTATGGCTGCTAAACAAAAAGCCAGCAGTTCAAATCCACCAGGCACTCCTTGGAAACCCTATGGGGCAGTTCTACTCTGTTCTATAGGGTTGTTATGAGTCAGAATTGACTTGACGGCAACGGGTTGGTTTGTTTGTTTTATCTTGCACTTTGAATAGGTCTCTTACCCTTGTATGTAACATCATTGGTCATTTGGAAAATACTGGGTCACTGAATTGTGTAAATGTTTCATTATACAACATGCAAAAAAAAATGACACGTTAATATCAGCAATAATCTCTTTTAGAAAAGTCCATGAATACTGACAACCTTTCAAGCTTACTGTGAATACAAATTATAATTTTTTATAAATACAGATTTATAATTTTTGCAAGAAAATACAATTTTAATCACTGCCAATAAATACTGTTCATTGTTTTTCTTAAAGTGACCACCTCATTTTTAATTTTAGAGAAATATCTGTCAAATAACCAAGTCTTAATCACCACAGTTTGCCTATCTACTCTTCAAGTAAAAATGGTGTTCCATGAAAAAAGCAGGCAGTTCAACACACAGCTCAATCAATTGCCAAGTGCTTTTCCAGAAGGCAATCATCTATACTTCAGCATGCAGCAGAAGTGTTTTATGTGTACTTCCTATTATGTCACACAGAATATTAAAAAGATGTGAACTTGGGATAGAGATTTACTAAAATGAATCATATTTAATGCTTCATCAAGCATAGTCTTACATGAAGCTTGTTTTTTTTTTCTTTTTTCACCTAAGGGTGTGACAGCGAAGAATACAACAGCTGCTAGTATTGTTTGGTGACACAGCTTTGATTCATGCTAAGTCCCCAGCAGTTACACCACAGCATTGCTTCTGCACCATCAGTGCAAATATCAACACAGTAAAAATGGCAAATAATTTCTTAGTATTAAGTTTTGCCTTCGTGGACCCCCTAAAAGGCTCTCTCTGACCCCTACAGGGGTCCACGGAGCACACAGTGAGAACTACTGATCTAATCGAACCCCTTCATTTTCCACATAAAGAACATGAGGCCCAGAGAAGTTCAGTGAAGTGGCCAAACCACTCCTCCCCAATACACTCACGTGTAGCCAGCGAGTGATAAAGTCAGGGCTAGAATCCAGAGGCCCCAGTTCCCAATCCACTGCTCTTTCTGCTACTCAATTTAATCTGACTGGAGCTAGTAGGATTTTGAAAACAACTAATTATAGCTTTAAAAGCAAGTAAGTAAACAAACAAACAAACCTTGTACGTTTAGGTTAGGACTTGGAGTACTTTCAAAGACAGTGAACTAAACAGAACTTTGGTCATTAAGCAAACATCTTACTTCGAGGCTTCATAAGAACTCACTTACTGTTACAGGTTCTAGGCTAGGGGTCAGCAAACTACAGCCTGCAAACCAAATCTGGCCCACCACATCTCTTTGTAAGGTCTGAGAGTTAAGAATAGTTTTTACATTTTTCAAATGATTTTTAAAAAAAGGAATATTGCGTGACACATGAAAATTACATGAAATTCAAATTTCAGTGGCCCTAAAGTTTCACTCAGCACAGCCACGTTCAGTGTGTTAGGTACTGTTTATGGGTGCTTCCACATTAAAATGACAAGAGTTGCACAGTTGCAGCAACAGAGACTGTATAGCCCGTAAAGCCTAAAATATTTACAGAAAAACTTTGCTGACCTCCTAGCCTAGACAATGTAACATCATTATTTAAGCACAAGAATTGAAAACATCAAATCAGGAAAATTAAATTAAGAAGAGGTTTTAAACATACCGAGACTAGCAAGGCTTAAAAACAGTTATTTCCTATAGCACAGATTCAGCTTAAATCAAAATAAAATAAGGAGAAAACGTACAAATATATACAGTTCATGTTAACAAAATACTTTTTATGACGGTGTGAGAAAATAAAACAACCTACCTCTTTTGTCTTCAGTGGTATATCTCCAAGGTATACTTTGTACATCTTATTAATGATGGCAGGATTATTCCAGTCAATTAAGCTACAAAAAGTTTCAACACGATGTTAAAATTATGGAGTTTTTTCCTTCCAGCTTCAATGATTTCAAAAAATCATAGTCCCAATATTTGCTACCAAGTAAAAATGTTAGAAACACACAGATGAAATGGGTAATTAACAACACAGAAAAGAAGGAAAGGCAAGGGATCAACTTCAATCGAAGTTAGTCAATTTTGACCCTGTAAGAAAACTAGACTGTGTTCCTGTCTAGATGGGCTCTCAAGGTCAATGTCAGGAAGCTATTCCAACAAAGCAGAGCTATAGTACACCCTGGGGCAGGGCATGATTCTGAGATACTGACCTCTTCTGTCTTAAACACTCAGAAACTCAAAAATGATTAAGGAAAATGGTTACAACATTACGAAGCTTACAAAAAGACCAGTTGCCATCGAGTTGATTCTGACTCATGGCTACCCCATGTGTGTCAAAATAGACGTGTGCTCCACAGGTTTTCAATGGCTGATTTTTCAGAAGTAGATCGAGAGACTTTTCTTCCAAGGTACTTTTAGGTGTATTCGAACCTCCAATCTTTCAGTAAGCAACCAAGCGCATTAACTGTATGCACCACCCACCCCCATTCCTCTAATATTGCGCCATTACGATTCCCAGCAGCCCCCTCCCTCCTTATCTACTAGCACATATTTGCAGTTTTGACACATAATTCTACATAGCAGATATGCTGCCATTTTTGGTGTTGTTAGCTGCCATATGGTCAACCTCCAACTCACGGCAATCCCACGTACAACAAGATCGGACTGTTGTGATCCATAGTGTTTTCAGTGGCTGTTTTTTTTTTTTGAAGTAGATCACCAGGCCTTTCTTCCTAGTCCATCCTAGTCTGGAAGCTCCACCGAACCCTGTCACCTTTATAGCAACACGCAAGCCTAACTGACATATTGGTGGTGGCTGTGCTTAAGGGTCACATGAGTCAAAATAGACTCGACGGCAACGGGTTTGGTTTGGTTTGTGCTTAAGGTGCACTGGCTAGGAATTGAACCCAGGTCTCCTGTATGGAAGGAGAAAATTCTACCACTGAACCATGAATGTCTGCCATGCTACCATTAGTCACTAACTTATTCCCACTTAGACCCCACAATAAGGTGAATTAGGACATAATGTGATTGGTGATTGGCTCCCATCCTCTGCAGCAGGCCCAGCCCAGTCACTTTATTAACCTAGCAATAATGCAATCCTGCATTTTACTTGGCTGCCGAGGTTTTACCATACTGTCTTCTCTCTGCCTTTTGATGTTGTTTCCAACCTATGCTCTATTTGTGCATATACCATGTACCTTGCTGCTTTGACTGCTTTTCTGATTCAGCTCTTTTTTCAGTCTATCAATCTGCCTCTTCTTTGAATATCCCCAAAGACATTCTATAATTGTATTTTATTTAATTAATAAGGGTAATTTTCACTGTTTCTTCTACTTACCATCTTCCTATCTTTCTACTTTTAGTTTTCTGAGTATGTATCTGTTGTAAAAATTCAGAAATGAATAATAAGAAAGTAAAACTGCATATAATCTGCACCACACTCCCTCTCTATTCCTCCTCAATAGAATAACCACTAAGTTTGGTGCTTGGGCAAAGAAATAAATCAAGATATAGATGCATCACAACTTGACCAAGGCAAGGTCATGGAAGCTTCATAGACTCATCCAAACTCCCTGAGGGACCGAATTACTAAGCTGAGGGCTGGGGACCATGATCCTGTGGGACATCAAGCTCTATTGGCATAAAGATTATAAAGAAAATGTTCTACATCCTACTTTGGGGAGTAGCATCTGAGGTCTTAAAAGTTTGTGCGTAGCCATCTAAGATACTCCACTGGTCCTGCCCCGTCTGGAGCCAGGGAGAATGAAGAAAACTAAAAACACAAGGGAAAGATTAGTCCAAAGGACTAATGGACCACAACTACCACAGCCTCTACCAGACTGAGCCCAGCACAATTAGATAGTGCCAGGCTAACACAACTGACTGCTCTGAAAGGGATCACAACAGAGGGTCCTGGGCAGAGCTGGAGATAAATGTAGAAAACTCTAACTCACAAAAAAAGACCAGACTTAGTGGTCTGACAGAGGCTAGAGAAACCCTGAGACTATGGCCCCCGGACACCCCTTTAACTCAGTACTGAAGTCACTCCTGAGGTTCACCCTTCAGCCAAAGATTACACAGGCCCATTAAACATAACAAGACTAAATGGGCACACCAGCCCAGGGGCAAGGACGAGATGGCAGGAGGGGAGCGGAAAGCCAGTAAGGGGGAACCCAAGGCTGAGAAGGGGAGAGTGTTGACGCCTCATGGAGTTGGCAACCAACATCACAAAACAATATGTATATTAATTGTTTAATGAGAAATTAATTTGCTCTGTAAACCTTCATCTAAAGCACAACAGAAAAAAGAGAGATAGCTGCATCACTTAAAGAAATACTCTGGGATTTTTTTATTTGTCAAAATGGAATAAGATCTACATATTATTCTCAACTCACCTTTTATTTAAAAATGCTTATACTTTTTTTAATTGATGAAACTAAAACTAATTAAAACACTTCAGCACCACATTTGTATTTCCAACAATCAAATCCATACATGGTATAAAGAATGGGGCTAGTTCAAAGACAATGAGAAGTTTTAAAGGAAGAATTTTGGACTCTTCAAAACCAAATTCTCTGAAAGGGGTAACCAGAAAGATTCAGTGATAAGCAGCTAGAAGAATCTGAGAGTTGGGAGGAATGTTAAGTACAATCTAGTCCAACTCTCTTATTTTCCAAAACCTAAGGTCCAACCAGGTCAAGTGAGCCTCCCAAACGCATACAATCAGAAAGAGGTATGTGCAGAATGAACTCCACGATTAACATACTGTCCTCTGTGTTGCCTCCCAGGCGTTCTAGTGGGTAAGCCCTCCCCACCACCACACATTGTTTATATTTCAACAAGTAATCTAAGCCACAGTGAAGCTACTTCCTTCATTCTGGTATACCTACTTGCACTGGCATTTTTCAAGAGCAAAAATTACAATATTTACAAAGCTTTATTACCATATCCACATCACACTGTCTTCTAGCATGTTATTACATGATTATAGGCATTAGAATAAATTCAAGGAAAGAACTGCCCCATAATTACATTTTTTTAATCAAATAACTTTATTTTTCCATATTCTTGTTCAGTCTGAGCACGTCATTTTTTAAATATACAACCAGTACACATACCATTTTGTATTCTACCTTATTCATTTACCATTACTTGGGAGCAATTTATATGTTGCTATATTATTTTTATAATTATCTTGGCAAATACATAATATTTCATAAAGCTATAGACAGTAATTTAACTATTTCCCCATTGTGGAAAATTAAATTTGCTTCCATACTCTTCTATGATTATAGATAATGATACAACCAGCAGATTTATGACATTTTTCTGAATATAACCCTTTTTATATTTTGAATTATTTCCTTAGGATAAATTCCCAGAAGTAAAATTTAGATAAAAGAGAATAAATATTCTTATGATTCATTACTTACTACAAACTGCTTTCCAAAAGTTATTTCAATTTATAATACTAGTCAACAGGGTATAAGAGTAGCAGTTTCAATAGAAACTTAAACGGATGTATCAACTGTTATACAACTTCATCAGTGGATACAAATTGGTATATCATTGTTTTATTTTGCACTGATTTGATTTCTGATGCCAAATATATTTTATGAGTTATTTAATATTTGCATTTCCCCTTCTATAAAATAGGATCTATTCAGTACACCTTTTCACAGATCTGATTTTCTGTCTCAACTGGATTTACTATAATACATACATATTCTTTATTAAAAGCAATATCAAATGATTTGAGATAGAGGAAGGGATCAAAAATGAGTAACAGAATTTTGAGTTTTGATTTTTTTTTTTAACATCGCTCCTTTAGCTTCATTTACCTAGCCAAAGGTCTCATTTCTTACAATTATATTTCTAATCCATTCCAGTTTTAAACTGTATCTCCAAATGGCTTTTCTTCTTGTCTTATACAGAATTCTACTCTTCAACAAACTGTATATATTATGAGTTTCCTGGGTTTATTTTACTGAATACCTCATTACACAAAGCCCCAAAAGAACAAAGATGCGCTGAGTAACGTTTCAGAAGTCTCTTTTCAATTCTGAAAGTTAAAAAGGAAAGCAGTTACCTTTGCTTGCTTTTCAATTCCAGGTCTGCTGCTGTTGCTACACTATGGCGAGTGTCACTAGAAGCAATCACCAGGTGGAGAACAGCTTCGAGTTCAGGCACCTGTTCAGCCTCTATGAATTTCACTATACCCAATTTGCACTGCACATAAATCAAGGGAAGGAGAAACAGTGGTCAGGGAAATAAAGAATATCAACCAAAAGCACTGTTTAACAAATCAGTGTGGTCACAAACCAAGGATTAATATATTGAAAACAGTAGTAGCTTGCTTAGGATATGCCAAGGACTGTACTAAATCACATATATTCACGATTTCATTTAACCCTCACAATTTATGAGATAGTTATTATTATACCCATTTTCTAGATGAGGAAACTGAGTCAAGGCTTAAGATGTTAAAACACATAGTTAATAAGTGATAAAGTCAGGAATCAAACACAAGTTTCTCTGACTCCAAAACCAGTATGATACAAAGCCTCTCTACTTAAGCTACAGAGCCTCTCTAGAGTGATGAAGCCCTGAATTCCAAATGTGGGGCCACCAGGTAAGAGGGTGGTACATCAGAAATAAAGTGCTCCATGGATTTTTATGACAGTTCAAAAGGAACTAAACAACTCACATTCCATGGGGTTTCACTCTATTGTTAACATACTAATTCTTGTCCTCTGTATTCTTACACACTAAAAACAAAAAATAT